GGCATCGGAAATCCATCTGATCAAAGAGAAGTTGTTAGAGTGACGAATTCCCTTAGGTGCAGAAAGCAATATAATCACCGACTCTGGTATCACGAGCTTATCCGTTTTGTTTGAGTAGTTCGACGATGGGTTGGCTCTCATTCATGAACCTGAGCAGAGTCAGTAATCTTTGTCGTGGCCAAAATAATGCAAGACCACCCAAGTCTACCTACTTTGTATATTTTTCGCTGACACCAGTGGAATCCAATCCCGCACTCCCTTGTTGAATTTCTACCCTGCAGACATCACACAAAGGAACCATGTTCGCAGTTTTGTCCTTTATCGTGTAAAGAGGTCATTCCCAACATCGTGACCATGTCGAACGTTCTCAGAATCGAAGAATCCATACCAACATTGCAAAATCGAGTGCCGAGAACTCCTTGTTACATACTGGACACTTGTAAGGCATGTTGGCCATTTGCTACGGTGATCGGGACAATATATTATATCCAGCGCACGAATGTACGTCAAACGAGCAGGGCACAGAAATAGTACCATTTGAACCTCCTTCTCTATCATTTTCCCGATCTTGTAGATCTTCCATTTGACTACATCAACAAAGTGCTTGTAATCGATATAGTAGTAAGATCTGTTGATCTTTCTTTGAGGCCTATTCTCCACCGCTGGACCGATCTGCTCCCCTCGCGCTTCGCTGCAGAACTCTATCAGAAGAAAGCTCGCCAACGAGTGTCACATCCAAGAACAGCTATCTTACACTTTCACGAGTCCATCCGATTTTAGCTTTCCGCAGACCTTGTGGAGCTCTTTTGACTGTACTCTGAGTGCTCTGGCCAGTTCCTCATCTCGCTGGCTGCAAACCAATGTGGGATAAATTCAGCGAATGGTACACAGTTCCTGTCGGACAATCAAGACTCTAGATAATGTCACAGACTTCACAGCCAGCCCATGAATCCACCATTTTCCCTTCTCAGTATGATGCACACTTGCTATACGATGGTTGTGGACATCAATGTCAAGTCATGGCAACTTACGAATTGACTCGAGACAGCAAGTCGAGCACTATTATGTGCTTTGGTTCATAGTAAGCCCGTGCTACTAGAGCGACGAGCTTTCGTAGAATTCCCTTAGCTGCTGCCGTTTCTTTGGCAGTTGGTGGTGCTATCGTCGACATCCTGCTCGTCAACGTTATGATGGAGAGGCTTTTGGGGGTTCAGTTCTGCTATTCAAGCGACTTCAGATTAGCAGGACGATTGATGAGTCATCACGCACCCGACCTTACAGGCTTTGCAAGATCGCCGTTCATTTTCGGCGAGCTTCACATCCAAACGAACGGCACACCACCTTGGACAACTGCGAGGTTAACGATGTGGCGACATGAAGAAGGCAGTGCTTTCCAACATTGTGCCATCTAAAGGGTCAAGCATACGGCAACAGTTACTTGGCTCGACGGATAGTGGGGGACAGCCTTCCGAAACTGCCTCAACGTCGCGACATGGCGGTAATTGTTCGAGTTTCTTCCTTTTATTATGGCGGGTGGCTTTCATGTCTAACGATCTCCAATAGTAGGTGAGAGCCTCACAGGTAGCCAGTCATTGGCAAGCACGGGTCCAGGAGGCGATAAGACGGCAGTGCCCTCTACCTTACAGCGCCCAGTGCGCTTCCGGTTGACCGGAGCATTAAGCGCTCTATCGGCCTCTCCAGAGCAGGACTGGGTAGCAGTGGCCGGCCGAGAAGGTAGGGAGTGTAGGCTTTGGCAGTCAGAACTTTGGAGATTGGAGGTGAACTGATATGCGCCATTTCAGTCTTGAAGATATTATCTGTGTATGACAAGGATGTAAAAGAGGTCCTGAATCTTCGTGGGGGAGTCAAGCTCAACCTTAACTTCAGTATAAATGATGTGAAATGGGGAAATATATGTACGTATTGGCGTTTGCTTCAAGCAGCGCGAATTCCTAACCTAGTGATCAAAATACATAGTTGCCAAAAGCACAATAGCTACAGCCGCGACCAACGGTGCCGTGGCTATATGGGATTTGAATCGTCCAAATGCTCAGAAATTAGGTATTAATCAGCGAGATCCGTTCGCGGCACTTCTGTGTAGCTGATGACCCATCTTTAGAGAGGATATTGACGGAACACACACGGGCGGTGAATCGTATAAATTTTCATCCAACCGAACCTGTTCTTTTGTTGAGTGCTTCGCAGGACGGGACGATGAGACTTTGGGTAAGCATAGAGTGCACCCACTTCACAGTCTCCAAACTTACCTTTCCGCATTTAAGGACCTGCGCGCTAAAAGCATTGCCCGAAACGCCTTTGAGGGAAAGGCCGAGAGTGTTAGAGATGTACAGTTTAGTCCGACGAACACGTTCGAGTTTGTAGCGGCTTTCGAGAATGGAACTATCCAAGTAATAATATTGGGTTCGATGCAACAGAGGCCAGTCGTATTAACCCTTTCAATAGAAATGGGATATCCGCTACCCCACGCAATATGAGCGCAAATGGAGTGCCCACAATGGGTTGGCCCTTACGGTGGATTGGCACCCGGAGGGTCGCTGGGTGGCAAGTGGAGGGCGTGATCGACAGATAAAGGTCTGCACTTAGCATGGGCATCTGAGTCCCAAGAGACCTTTATATACTGAGCTTCTATATTACTTGGACAGATTTGGGATATGAAGTCTGACAGCCGAAAGCCGCTTTACGCGATTCAAACTATTGCGCCTGTGTCTCGTGTAAACTGGCGTCCAGGACATGAAAGTCAGCTTGCCTGCTGTGCCCTGTCAACGGACTTCCGGATCCATACGTGGGATGTCGGAAGACCGTATATTGCCCAACATTCCATTGAGGCTCATGATGGAGTTATAACCGGTACGCAAGTCACTGCCGATGAATCTCCGCATAACCGTTTGTGACTCTTCTTCAGGATTTTTATGGCGAGATGCGAATAGCATATGGTCCTGTTCAAAAGATCGCACTTTTGCACGCCATGATATCCGTACAGGCTACAAGCCTCTCAGTCTACTGAACACCTGCGCCGTGAATTGGAACGTCAATGGCGATATAACCTTTGCCATTGATGAGCGCCGACAGGATCCCGCGATGGAAGACAGCAGGGCAATGCCCACGGGGTCAAATTATCCCCTGCGAAGAGCGTTTCGTAAACCGATGGTGCCCGAGCGCAGCACAAGCGATGATAAGGTGAGATTCTTCGAGCATTGCCTGTCCATTTTTCCCATCTTATACCTTGGCAATGCGAAATTTTACCCGCAAAAATAGATTCCGCAACATCGACCGCGTCAGAAAGTAGGCGTCGTGGATACCGAAACGTTCGATGACTATGCGTTTGTTGTGCTCGCTCAAGATTATGCGATAGAGAGCGACGATATTTGGTCGTCCTGTCAGCACAACGCGGAGGTGAGGGGGATATCATCAAAATAACGAAATCCCACCGCTGACCCTGGTGTAATTAGGTCGCCATAGATCTTGAACTGCACCGAACAGCACAGACATGGAAAATCTTGCAGTTATTGTACGGAACTGAACCATCGGAATCTCGGAATTTGACAAAACTCTTCGGACATCCAAACAAGCAGGATGACCACAATTGGGATCGTCAAGCAGGTTCGCTGGAGGTTACTGTTAGAGTTTCCAATATCGGTCGCTCATCGTCTCATGTTTATAGGAAACACCCCCGTCGGCAGGGCTACAGACGTCGATCCCCAGTTAACTGTCGGTAGCGCGCAATCGGATTCTGCGCTGCTGACCGAGATGATGAGGCCAAATGCGGAAGGATGGATGAGAGACTACGTTGTGCCGCACGGGTCTCAGCGACGCGGTTCGCTATCACCACACCACGATCAACAGGAATTGGTCACGGAAAGTGACATTGATAGCGATGAAGGATATACGGAGGAAGAACAGCATGACGATGACGGAGATTCAGATGACTCGGAGTCGTCCTTCACATATGGCCTGAAAGTGGGCGCCGGACGAAGAACATTGGCTCGTTTCGGAATTGGGACAAACAAAATCTTGAAGCCTTTTTATGGCGGAAAGTCAAACCAGAACCAGTCGCATAGCAAACGTGACAGCAGCAAAGGGAGACACAAGCATAGTCAACGCACGGTGAAGAGTGCCAAAGTTGTTCATCAAGACGTGGTGATTCCACTTTGGAATCCGGAGGACTTGGTGAGGGATATGTTAGAATACTATGCGGAACAAGCCAATGTCCAGATGTGTGCCACCATCCTGTTAGTATTAAAGGATCGAATCAGGGCAGGAGAGGAGAAAGAAGAGCTATGGTTCTGTTCCTACATTGGTAAGAAAGAGAATTCGGTTCGACGACGCCCATCGCCCATTGATGCACTCTAATCTTTTGCAGATCTCTTGCATAGGTTTAAACTTTGGACAGCTGCTACAGCAATTATTCGAGCGTGTCCTTTGGCCTCCGTGAGGGTTCGCAATCAGGTAGGAACGCTGTCTATGCATGCATTTCACAGGCGAATATTGATTGTCGCAATCCTGTGCCTAGGAATCCACAACACTCCACACAATATGTTGCCATTGTGGGAAGCCTATGCCGAACATACACACTCCAAATTGGGCTTGCGAGAGTTGTGGGAAATTACAAAATCCTTGCTCCTTTTGGTACGTTGAAGCAATCCGGTTCTGAGGCCCAAACATACTAACCTAGGACACTTGCAGCCATAAAACAGCAAAAGGGTTGTATATATGGTGTCAAGGCTGTGCACATGGTGGACACCTAGACTGCTTAAAAGGTGAATTGGACAAGCTGGAACTCACTCGTCTACGCTGGTATTAACACACTGCGTTTAGAGTGGTTTTCGCATAGTTTAGAGTGCTGCACAGGGTGTGGGCATCAATGTGTATCAAAATTCTTTGCACTTCCACGCGGTGTATTATAGGCAAGATCAATACGTAAGGGATTACTGTACAGTGAAATAATGGGTGTAACGCTAACGCTGACATACGTCGCATGATGATCTCCATGACATTATGGAATCAAAAAGATAATGGCTTCTTTGCAGGAGCCCTGCTGATTTCCAACCGTTCGTACCCTTTACAGATCAGTACATTTTTTAGCCTCTCAAAGTTACGGGGCGCCAACCCCTGAATATCCTTCATGACCACCTTTCGCAATTTGGCCATCCTTAATAACCAGTCCATTTCGCGACCGGATGACAGTCTCATCTTGGATGCAACAAAGATTTCTAAGCTTTCACCAGAATGAGGATATGAGCCCTGATTTACCTCGGCCCAACCACCGCTCGACACCTTGGTTCCACTCATATCAAGTTCGCGAAGACGAGAACAACGAAATAGTAGCGGTCCAATGCAAACATTATCGAACTGAGGACAATCCCTCACGGAAAGTACTTCGAGAAAGGCCATGTCTCCCAGTGCAACAAATCCGACTTGTGCAATATTGAAACACTCGGTAAGATTCAGGTGTTTGAGGTGTCGAAATAGATGAAGAAAAACGCATAGATCGGTGGAATTCAGTCGCTTACATCCGCTGAGGTTCAGCGTTTCGAGCTTTCCGTGGGTGAAGGTCAATCCATTGTTTCGACCCACAATGGCTAGTGTCTTGGTCAGATTTTCCAATTTATCACATCCGGAAAGGTCCAAGCTTCTCATATTTGGGCAATTACTGATAAGAAGAGCGATGGATGCAGATCCAAGAAACTTTGCAGGATCCCATGTATGTTGGAGGACTTGCACCGTCTCCACCCATTGCCGCGCTCCCCGCTGTGATCTCGATGGATTTCCCTCCAGTAAAAGACGTAGAGTTTCCACACGTATCATAGAGCAACAGGCACCCAAACTTGTCAGATCGAGATGCTTCCAGAAGGGCGCCATGCAAGCCGCAAAAGCAAACGATGGCCAATACGCATACCAGCCCTTGTTCAGGAGTCGAAATTTGAGGACAGTAGGAAGATCATCCGCATACAACATGATCAATGCCAAGAGTTCGAGAGGTAAAGGACGGCGGGTCGTTTCTTTGGGCTCCTTGTTGTTCCCGCGAGCCAGCGGGGAGGCGGAGCACAATGGCTCTGCAGTAGTCCCCAATTGTGATTTACTGCACAGGATGCGGCCGCGACGTGATGACTTTCGTGATATGAGATCCAACTGGTTCCCGTCCACTGATAACCAGAGACTATGAATACACCAAGCATGTCACGTCGGAATATTCGCAAGGTTCAAACTCACCTCCTCCCAGCTCCTTTGTTTGCACGACATTAACAGTAAGAGGTTCCGATTTCGACAGCTTGAGACGACGGCGACGACGAGGAGAGCCTATTATTCTATAAATCGTACTGACAAACATGTCTATGCCGAGGAGAAAGGAGCGAGGAAGGATGGTGTTTGAAGAACGCTTGAAGGCTGCGCACGCGAATACCAATATTTACGTGAAGGTCGCGGGGGTTACACGGAGGTGAATCTCGTGACCTCGCTATTAAAATCCAATAATCACAACTGCAACCTATTAATAGGCACAAGTTGGTTATTTGAATTATTTACTTATTTGACATCTTTTGAAAAGTGGAAACGAAATTAGAAACTATCTGCATAAAAACAATAAGTCGACTTGCAAGAGGACCTGGTTGACTGGGATAGAGTTCCTTACTTTCGCAGCACATAGCCCCAACAGCTCGGTCACAATATTCTGTTAACTGTCTCTGCGGCTGAACAAGAACTCTACATAGGACATCTGACGGATATCTCACCATACCAGTCAGTATTTCACAGAAAGAAATTGTAGCGCCGGCCAGATAGCAGATCCAAGCACTGGATAGTCGCTTCCACAAGTTCTATTTGTACTTGGAAATGCCTTCGAGCGATGTGCGTTGGGAGAACAGACGCCGTACCCCGAGCCCAAAACATCACACCTAGGAAACCCTCACTCAAATCTATCAGAAACCTGCCTTGCAACCAGAGCGCACCGCACCGGTGAATTGCATGAAAAAGAATAGCATCTATTTTAAGCATCCCGTCTATCAAAACCATTAAGTGCGCATGGTTTGACAGGCAAATGCTACTATTAATAGAGATAATGTCACTACTAATACGTTGAGAATTTCGACCGACCATTAATGTTATTCAATGCCTCTGACAGCTGCTGCCATAGATAGGCAGCTGCACAGGAGGAGAACCCGATACGTCTTCGGCTGCCATCGCTTCTTAGCGCATTAAGATGGCCCACATCCATATTCTTGAGCAACAGCACTCAAGTTATGTGAACGAATTTCTCTTAAATACACGCGGAATGCCTCCCTTGCCAGAGTGCACACCTGACCAAGACCCTCGCAAGGACTTGAACATTCACAGAACCTATCACGAGACATCGACATCGTTCACAACCCAGAGAGAATTCTTGCAGAACTGGATTGATCAATGTCGTTCATTGGCTAGAGGAGAACCTGCCTTTGTAGCAACGGAGTGCCGGGTTGGCAACGTCGGGAAGGTCAGATTCTTTGGTGTTTGTGATAAAACCACCCTATTGGCGTTGGGATACGTCTGTGAGCTGATTTTGACGGATCCGAAAGGGGAGGCTGCCGTCAGAACCTACTTTACCAATTATGGGACGGTGCTGAAGCGACATATGATGGCAATGGGAAAATCCAGCAAACGCAATGACACCCGCAGTGCCGGCTATTTTGGGGAAGGGGTCAAGGTGGCTATTAACCGACTAACTGCCGAGGGTGCCCGCGTGCGATATTTCACTGGATGGAATCTGTGGACCTTTGAGTACGACCAGGAAGATATTTTACAACTCAGGTTCCAACACCTTTCCAGCCCACAGGCCACTACCGCAATAGTTGATCTGCTGAACGATTCCGGAGTACGCTTTCCTCTACGGCGAAACTTCACGCTTCGGCCCATTGACACCGCCGACTATCTATTCCTGCATCGAGCCGCATACCCGAACATCCAAACCAATATTCTAAGGACTACGGACATCGAAGTGATTGTTGATGTTCCGGAATTATTCGGCAACTTGTACGTGAAAGACATCAAATGCATCGCAGATACAGACCTCCGCGTGAAAGGCCGTGTGGACGGGAAGAGTGTTGAGTGGGGATTTGCTGTGAATTATATCGGGCCACAGACGAACTACAATTTGTTAGGGTTGAGTCGGGACCGAAACACTCTGTATCCGGGCAAAATCCTACGCTTTGTTCCCGGTTTATTCAGTTCACTCGATACACTGATCTCGCCAAGCGATAAGCGCACGTTCGCTGCCTATCTATTAAAGATGTTGATGCAGCAGTCTCAAACATCTGGGGGGCTTTCCAACCAACTCCGCAACTCTAATGATAGAAAGGTCGACCAGATCTTTGCAGATTACATCTTTTTTGCCCTCGCATCGTCTGTTGCCATGCGTCCGCTAGTCGAAGACGATCTTCAGCACTTCTTTCCTTTCTTGAAATACGAGCAGGATGATGCGAAACAGGCAACTTATCTGGGAGCCTACGTCATTGAAGTTCCGCAAGATGTGTTCAACATCCTTGAACTCTCCAGATTTTATCAGAAGCTTACCCAATTATGGGACCGGAAGAAAGAGGAGGCAAAACGACAGCCTGACTATGACCTTTCGCCGATTGCCGCATTTGCAGATGATTTATGTAAAGCTATCTATTCATTCTTCCAAATCCCTCGTGAGGCCATCGCATTCAAGGCTTTCCCGATCAATCGCGAAAACCCGAACCAGACCGTTGTCATCGACGTCCCTGTTCCAAATCTTCCTAGCGGCAAGGGATATATCATTGACGGGAACTTATTAAATCGACCCGCTGCACACCGAATTCAACGTAAGCAGACTGGGGAGAAATGTGATAGGACTGATTGTATGTGTGTGCAGATGTGCGTTATTGATGCGTTGAAGGTGCTTCTGTCAAACGGAAACCGTTCCATGCAACGTAAACTGGAGAAAACGATGTTGAGGAGGAGTTTAGAGGGCTTCATGCAAAACTTGCCCCCCTCTGTTGCGCAAGAAGAGGAAGAGCAGCAGAAGATTGGAAGCGCCTTCAGTAATCCGAGGGAGCAAGAGACGAATCCTGGTGGCACCCCTTTGCGCTCATCCTCAACAGGCGAAGCGGGCAATCGCCGCCATACGGGTACCAAAACTCAACCTCCACCCGATATTGCGCAGGACACCGGTGATGAAGGCCCTCGTCTTCCTGTCAAGCCAACTGACTTGGAATCCTTGGCGAATGATATTGTAAGAGACGTCCAAGAATATGCGCGCAATGCCAGCTCTAGTGCCCCAGACTCTATCCTCCACGTCGCGAATCCAGTCAAGAAATGGAAACTGGTGACGTGTGACGGATGTCCTTGTTTGAACCTCGTAAAAGTTCACAATCTCTACATCGACGCCAATACCACTTCCCCACCCGGAGCAGAAATTCTTAACCTTCGTGATGTCTTCTGGGACCTCGTTCTCGCACCTCTGGCAAATCTCTTCAAATATCCGAAAACCAAGGTGCACATATTTTGGGAAGGTAAGGGTTTGATAGCGTTCAACAAAGGCGGAATCCTCTACTACAACCTTCGATATTTTGATGTGCTGCACCGGAAGAGAGTCGAGTCGTATGAGATTCCGGAGGTTTTGATGTGGTGGTTCGTCATATTTGCCCATGAATGCGCACACAATGTAGCATCCGGACATGACAAAGAACACGAATGGGCAGAGGAGATTCTGATTCAGAAACATTTATCAGATTTGATGGAGTTATGTACGACGTACAAGAACTATTAACAAGAACTATTAACTATTTTGCGTTGGTGGTAGGCAATACCATTAGAGCGGGCGTATCAGATTGTATCAGGGATTTGTAGTGTGCTAATGTATATAGGTTATCACCCCAATCGTACAAGTTGGTTATTTGAATTATTGATTTATTTGACATCTTTTGAAAAGTGAAACGGAATTAGAAACTGTCTGCATGAAAACAATAATGCAAATGCATTCTGCTAGTTGGAAATAGGTTTGTTAGGTAGCCTGTCAATCGCGTACGGATTTCCTTCATCAAATGGTATGCTAAATATCATGTCGAAATCGAGCATTTTATTTAGGCATTGACTTGGGATCACCATCTTTTGGCAAGAACCCTTTTGGCATCATAGTTTATCTGACATGGTGCATCATGATAATCCTACTCCTCAGCTATCGTGATGTCCATCTTTCAGAATCCCCTGCTATTAACTGTAATATCTGCCTACTTTAGACGTTACCATGAAGGATGGTTAGAATATTTGTTCAGAATGGATCCACAGATATCAACCTTGCTGTAGCAATGATATAGCATAATAATGTGCCATCTCTGACACTTGCAAAATACGGTAATGGCCTCAATCCCACATTAGAACTGCCATTGTAGCGGTTAAGCAAGTTGGAGTGCGTAATAGTACCAGCAATTGTCGGCTGCGTTTCTGGCCAATTAGCCAAATCCCTTGTTGCGCTTTAAGGACGAGAATGAACATACTAATCGACGTGAGTCAAGTAGAACTTTCGATCGTTACAAAGAATCATATTCACCTCCTGAACCCAACTGAATCCGAGTACTTGCAAGGAAAATAACAAATGCAATGTTGCAATTTGACCATTAAGGATATCAATACGACATATCGCCCGCCTCTCATACATGCTCCTAGTTTCATATATACACCATCTAATGCAATCGCTATCGCCGTGCTACTACGCTTGATCATTTTGAAACGCTCGCTTTATCCAGGCCAATTCCACAGCTTCGTACCCGGCCGCCCGGTTCAATCCTAGTATTATATCTACCTCTCTTGTGGTCACGACAGAATCACACTGTGCTGTCGGGCATTTTACAATATCCTTGGTTCTCATACTTTCGACTATGCGTTTCCTGAAGCATTTCGTGCATATCGTGTGCTTGCAAGTCAATATGATTCCCTCTCCGCGTTGGCAGGCTACCCGGCAATCACAACAGTCGAATCCCTAGTGAAACAATGTGAATGAGCAGAGGATTCAAATGTAGATGAACATCCTCTCAACGTACAGCCAAACACAATTTTAAATCTCTGGCAAGCCTAACGGCCTCCCGATCATTCGTCATCCACTTCGTGTTCATCTGTTTCCGCTCACAGAAGCGCTTATATTTTTCATGGAGATCATCACCGCTTGACCTGTTGGACGTTGCGGACGGAGGAGTAGACCGGCGCGGCTGACCAACTGAGGACCCACCAGAACTGGAGGAGGATGGGCCTGATTCAGACAATACATTTTTGTTCCAACGTGATCGCCGCGGAGAACGCATCCGATGGGAACTGTCGCTTGAACCAGATGCAGGCGTGCTTGCACTGCCTACCAAGCCCACTGTTTGATCAAAGCGTGAAGCCAGATCCGTGAGCCACGGGGAGCGACCTCCTCTGTTCCCTGATCTTGCGTTTGCGCCGTCTGCGTTTGTTGTGTCCGGTGCATCAAAGGAGAAACCTGTTGAAAGACCGCTTCCGAACGTGAAGGTCGCCGGAGGTTCTTGTGGGGGAGGTACTGGTGGTTCACTTGGTGCGAATCTCCCACGCGGGCGGGCGATACGCCTTCGAGTCGGACTGGAAGGAGGGTTGTTACCTGTGGTTCCGTTCGTTGGATTGGTAGAGTGCCCTTATGATACACGAAAATGAGCACCTTTTGCGGACCGGCAAATAGCGTGCACTTCTCACCTTGCTCTGAAGTCGAAACATCACTGTCATGGTCTCCATCCCTCGGGCTCAACATAGAGACGCCAAGCCTGCGCCCATCGCTAAAAATGACCTTGTCTGAAGGTTGAAAGCGAGGACGTTGAGTATCTGGCCCCGAGTTTCTGGACGATTCAAAGCGCGAACGCTGCGAGCCTGACGCCTGGTTCCCTGGGATTTGAGGACCAGGTCGACCTGCTATGACCTGAAAACCAGATACAAGTTGTGGTTCCTTAATACGCACTATTGGGTTACCCGTCACATCAAAATGCTTACATTGGTCAAGTCCAAAACTCCATCCCTGGACCTCACAGGTAGAGATGGAGACGACCCACTTGGCGTTTCTGCAATATGACCTCGCAGGTGATCAGCGAGATCTTGGACCTTGAGGCATGGGGATAATTCACGCACGGCAACCTTGAAAAATATGAGACTTGAGCCACTGCGGTATTCTCTACCGTTTGGTGTACCCAGCGTCGTACCTTTCTTGCGCATAACGGGCACTTTTGATAGCGTCGTAGCGACTGTTCAATGCAAGTCCTGCGCACGAAACCAGGAAAGCTATGATTGACAGTTGCTAGCCAGAGCAGATAGAGTGACATACCGGCAATACATATGATCACACGGCGTTCTTCTCACGTCGCGATACAGCTCAAAACAGATGCTGCACTGGAGCTCGTTTGTTATGGTTTCGATGAGCTTGGCGGCCCCGGTACTCTTGTCATGATTGTTAGGATGAACGCAATTTGATTGTGGACTCGTGTTCTGTGGTCCAGCTGCGGGGTCCTTTCCTTTAGACCTCCTTGGGTTGGCCAAGATGCGAGCCATGATCGCAGGCACGCCAGATTGATAATGGTTGACAGGTTTCACCAGATGGTGCGCAGCATTGATCGACATTACGTAATCAAAGCGTTGCATTTTCGAAAAACGCCCTGGTGCAAATAGCTGACGACAATTGGTCCGGTTTGAATAGATGCATACTCAAATGAGTGACTACATTTACGGCTTCAGAATGTGCTTGTCAGCCAACCTAAGTACAATGTGATGATACAGCTATATAACACGTCCTATCGTCCTACGCAACCCGCTGTGATCAGGAGGCGACGATCGAACAGACTGTTGCAGAATGCTCATGCGAGCCACATGTTTCGCATGTATGAAGGAAGCGGCACTGACTGCCGTTTCTACAGTATCCTTTGTTATTATTCCAATAGTGGCATGTTCTTCCGTTTTGCGGAACAGCATTGATGGCAGGCACGCTTTGCTTAAACTTGCGTGGTGTGGTTTCTTGCAATTGAATTTTGAACTTCTTGTTCCGACCTTCGCGTTCGCCAGTTTCCCCTTCATATCGGCCACGCTTGCGATGACTACCTACGTCCATTGTCGCACTGTCAGACGTATGCTGCCGCGAACGGGGTGCGGGACTTCGTCGCCCGGCTGCAAAGCTCTCTTCCGGGTACGCGATCGGTGGAGGGACTGACCGATTCACATAACGGGTTACAACTACCGGACAATCTAAGCTGGGATGGGCACCGCCGCAATTTATGCATCGGTGAACTCGTTCTGAGTAATGATGGGGTTAGTGTTATTGTCCGAGTTTATTTAGGCATCACATTCAACCATGATGTGTTGAGACAATGATCATTACACGTACTGCAGGTATCAAAGCCACAAAGTCCACTCGAGTTCCAGTTTTGACAAAAGTCCGTATACTTCCTGCCCGGCATTTCTGGCTTGACCTTGTCTTTATGAGGACACTCGAACATTCCATGGTCTCCATGACAAATCATACAGACATTCAAACGAGGGCACCGGCTTAGGTCGCAATGACTTTTGTTCCAGTGAAGACAGATTTGTGCCTTCCTGTCACACTCCACAAAGGTATGGGCAGACGAGCCGCAATAAGCGCATTGATGCAAATGGTAACAATTGCGATGAATGCAGTTGCCACGATTCCAATGTAGGCATACACGTTGTCGTTTTCCAGATGCGAGCAAATAGGGATTTGCACTAGTCCTCTCGGGACTACGGGACTTTTCCGTACGCCTGTTGTCGTTGCCTCGTGTTGGTGTTACAGCGCGTGATTCTGACAAGGCCTGCTTCGAAGAATCAGTATCTCTCTCTATAATCGAAATTACGACAGGCCTCTCGTCAGTACGGCTTTCACCCTGCGGCTCAGAGCCTAATCTTCTAGGAGTCTGGGATATGCTTTCGAAAAGCTTTTGCACAGCATCTTCAAGAGGTGCCTCTGGTGCCGTCTCAATTTCCGAAATCGGGGACCATCTGCTCTCAACAGCAGCTCCCTTGTTTTTCAAGATGGGTAACATCGCGCGATTAGAAGCATTTCCCTCAGTCTGCATCGCAATTTCATTACTAGACAAAGGGGGTTTGCTTGTATCAAGCACATTTGAGTTGAGGGTGGACATCAACTGGTTTGGAATGCCTGTATGTTTTTCAAGGCTGGATATCCCAAGGGGTTGAACTCCCGCATTTTGACCAATTTGGACATATTTCAATCGAGCCAGTAGGTCAGCACGCTTTGTTGCGGCTTCAGCTTTCATTTCACCCAACTGTTGCTTCGACATTGCCAATTTTAGGGAAAGCTGATTCCTTGCTCCGTCTACACGCTGCTTGTGGGCTTCTTTTTCGACTAGTTCTTTTTGCAAGTTCATAATGCGCGCTCGTAGAGAATCACATTCGTTAGCCAATCTCGCAATTTCAGCTTGATGCTGATAGGAGGCATTCATGTCTTCAATGAACTGATTTTCGACTAGATCCACTTTCTCCGAGTGCTCAAGTATCTCCAACTGTAATTGATAAAGCTCTCGCTGTTTAATTTCATCGTTCGCATTATGGATAGCGGCAGCGGTGCGACCAAGCAGCCCGGATCCCTCTGGTCTGCAGGTGACCGGTTCTTCATTGTTACGTAAGGACACTCGTCCATTATCCACAGCTGCAAACAGTTTATCGCCTGCCTGTACAGTTGAACTTGCTGGTACAGACTCCAGTACACTTTGCATTTCACTTATGGGAGATCTCCCAACCGGCTTCGCGGTGGCGAAACGTGCCCATATGTTCAGCAAGGCAGGAAAGGATGCAGCTGCGGTCTGAATATTTGTGGGCACCATATCAGACGCACCATTAGATCCTCCACTTGGTGAACCCATTCCGATATCATCTACTTCTGCCAAGCCGTTCAGGGGAGTTCTTATTCCGGCGGTAACGGGCTCATCGGCATGTACTCCCAGCATTTCGTATGACAAGGAGCGTGGGCTTGGTTCACAGTTGATGTCGCCTATACGAGATGTTGGGGGGCTTTCTGGTTCTTTTTTGGGTGTTACCCAATATGTGCCATTGCTCACCGTCTCATAGGTCGGTAGACGGTGCACTGCAGGAGTTGAGACTGGACGCTCCATAACAAAATGGATGGGTATCTGTAAGTCCGGAGGAACACAAGGTCGAAGGCTCAAGAATTAACAGTCCAGACTTGCAAAATCAAAACACCTTCAAAAGCCAAATGCTACCTGATCACCGCAGATGGTTTCATCGCAAAAAGTTGTGCCATCGTCCACAGCAGAGTAATATCACGTGACTACGATCACTTCATGTAATCCAGCAGGTAAGCAGGTCTCATTGTGCAAGTCAACTACTTTTGACTTTAGTACTTTACGACATGTATTCATTTAAACAGCAATTTGCAAAAGGCAATAAATGCAAACAATAAGCTCGCCTACGATTCACTTGCATCCCTCACTTGCGATTCAAGCTCCCACGACACAATCAACGTTCTCATTTTTCTGATATTTTGTGAATCTTGACCTGGTTCACTCAACGGTCATATCATCTTTTGCAGAACCATCAGCATCTTCATTGAAATCGTTCGTTTGCATCCATGCGCGCTCTCCCCATTTTACACACTGTTCACATGTCGGAAGTACTTCCCGTCTCTGCACTTTTGAGAAGGAGCTTTTGAGCAGGATCCTGTAACAGCACTTGCATCGGAGATGAGTCTCAGGGGTTGCGGTACAGTCGATGCAAGCGTGATTGTGATGCCTGTTCTTGAGACGATCCTTGAAGGGGAACCAAGGACCAGGCGGCGAGGTGCAATGCATGGCTTGTTCTTCGGGCGAGAATCTAGGTGATTGGGTGAGAGTTGAAACATTGCCTAACTATGCAAGTTAGGCGTACCTCGACTGTGGAAGTTGTTTTCGGCAGATATGGCAGAAGAGGCTTTTGGCAATGTTCGCCCGCCGAACGTTCATCATTTCTTGTTCAGCAATGTCGTAGGTTTCTGGTATGTCAAAATGTTAGCGTCGGTTGCGGTGCGAATCATTGGAACAGAATATACCATAGCTCATATCATCCCACCAGGATGGTCCGGTTTTTTCTTGGCTGTCCGACATTATGTTTAATTCGCAAAAATGTGTAGTGCGAAATGGAAGAAGCTTCGCCAACAGAAAGGCTGTCAGTCAGTTAACCCACATGACACGTGACATGACTACAGGCAACCAGGACGATAACGACGCTTGGAGTCAAACGACATGTCCTGCGCAGTCACAGAAAAGCAAAAGAAAGTACAGGACTGAGGGCCATTGGTACGCAATATCTATTATATATTCCAAACAGTAGCCATAGGATAAAACTGCATATAAATCTCATTAAGTATGGATGATCCCGCAGTCATCTCCAAGTATATACCAGCGGTCGACTATGATTCCAAGCGCTCTTCATCTCCCCGTCCCGAAATGCTTGCTTCACGTTCTACCAAACTTCCACATCGTCCCTCAACTTTCAAGCACCAATTTCGGTGGGCAATCCATGACGCGCGCTGGCATTGTTTGCTATCACAAACAAGATTGCTAATGAGATGGAGAAATCTCTGAGAAAAAAGTAGTCTCAGACATACCTGCAATACACAACCCTTCTACACCGTGAGCATTTTAGAAATTCTCTTTCGATTTTTTCTACGCGCCCACAGGCGTTTTCGAATCTCTTTTCCGGTCCAAAGTTGCCGCATCTTCGAAAGGGCTGACATCCGTCGGATCTTTTGAACGCGTTTCTCATGCATATGATTGCCCATCGTCGAATCTCTGGATTATATTGGGGACCGGTAAAGTGTTCCGTAAGTGCAAAAATATTGGGTGTGCTGCCATGGAGGTGTGCCCGGAGACTGGCGTATTTCGAGAGGTATGCAGTCAGCTTCAAGGCTGGCAGAAGCGTAGGATGTGTGGAGGCAGGTACAAGAGGAGTCGTGATTGAACTTGTCGTCGTCGTCGTCGTCGTCGTCGTTGTTGTTGATGTTGTCTGTTCTATATCTGCGGTGCTTGAGAGATTGGGACTCGGAAGACCAAGTAATGTCCCGTTGGAGTTATCTGGTGGAAGGGAATCTGCTGTAGTTGCGGATAGTTCGGGTTGCAACGATTGTGGGTACGTGGTAGGCATGTTGGGCGAACCATCCTGTGATTCAACGGCCATGGCAGCCGCCGCCAGTGGAGAAAGGACATCCTGACCGTCCGCAGTCGTCTTTAGCGCAGGACCTTTCCCGCCTCCCGCCGCAAAGGCGCCGCTCAAAACAACAATCAAGACCGGGATCACCTTGGCCTCCACCAAACGTCGCCGCAGTCGCTGATTTCCACGGACAGCAACGTTGCTCAGACAGCACACTCCGGCCACAATGCACACTCCCCATTGCTGTGCTCGCGCTCCTTTGGCCACACTGACTTTCTGTACTCCTTTCAGCACAATCCTCACCAGACACTCTAGCCCGCCGTCGACAGCCAGTACCTGCGCTATTCTTGCATGTGTGCACGTCAAGTACGTCAAGTTCAGCAGGCTGTGTGAAAGGGCAAGTGGGTCTGTACACGTCAATGCGCGTTTGTCATAGTGGTTGGGTGTCAGAGTTATGGCTCCTGTTGACGGGTGTAGGGAGGAAAAGTTGGACTGTCGAACCATTGTCTTTCTAGGTAGGAGATGGGAAGGAGGAGGAGTGCTTGAAATGGACACTTTTCTTCGCGCTAGCTGGCCCGACCCCTCCAAAATATAAAGGACTGCGCGCGTTGTGTGTGCTCGGGTGTGCTGTGTCTGGGCTGGTTTCGTTTATAAACTCGTCGATGCGCAGTAACAAGTCAAAGCAGTTGTCTCGCCCCGATATTTTCTTCTTTTCTATTTCGACCCTTCTCCTTCCGCCAAACGACGTCAACAAAATCAAAGTTCAAATAGTGTCGTCACTTGTTTATTTTTTTTTTTTTGCTTGTGCTGCGCTCTCTCCTTTTTAGCTGGTTTGCATTTTCAACTTGAATGTGTGCTCCCTTGTCGCCAACTCTTGAAACCACGGCGTGCAAAACAAACGGGCCGTGACCAACAAATCACACTCAAGGCCCAAACGAACACACACACAGCAGCAGCAAAAACCTAGAGATTGCTTTCAAAACGGCCAGGAAACCGAGCATTTCGAAAACGTTTTTTTCTTTTTTTTCTTTGTTATTTTATATGTCTGTTTTTTTTGTTTTTTGATATCTCCCAAAACATAAACTTGATCATCTTCCCCCGGCCCATCCAAATCCATTCCAGCCATTGAAATCTACTGAATTTTTATTTCTTGTTTTTTGCGTACATAAATCTAAGAGCAACTTCTAAACAGTAAACACAAAGCGGCCCGCGCTCCAGGTACACTGAAGTTTCTAAGTGTAAAAACTCGCCCGAGTGAAAGGGACGGGAGCGAAAGTTTCATAGAAGAACACCGAGCCCCAACTGTTGATATTTCAAGGAATCGGTTGGCCAACAAAGTTGCCGCTGTCAAAGCAAGAAAAAAGGATTAAAAACTTGGTATCCCTTATTAATAACGCAGGAGACATGTCAAAAAAACTCACGCAGGAAAGTACTCGCAGACAACAAATGAAAGCTTTTGGCCAGTTCCGTCATTCACACCGAGGGCACAACCCAATTCCTTTGTCGTGCCCCATACAACTTGAGAGTAATGTCCATAGGCGTGAAAGTCGCCATCGCCAATCAGCCCACTTTTGGGCATTAAGCTCTTTTCATCGTACCAACTCTGAACGGCAGGTCCGCACGCCTGATTCTCGTCGCCACTTGTTGAAGAGGCAAAAAGATTTTCACCAAAGGGACCTCCCGAATGTTCAAGATCAAATTTGCCAGAGGCCGCAAGCGTGTTGGCCCAGTTCTGAGCATGTGCAGCAGCCTTGGCTGACCACACGAGAGCGCCCTTGCCATCTTGAGCACGAAGGCGGTTGTGAGTGGCGAGACAATCATCCTGGAATGAGCCCTTTGGGACCGGTTTGGGCTCTGGCTTTGGAATAGGAGTCGGCGTGGGTTCGGGTTTGGGTTTGGGTACGGTGGGTACGGACACGAACTTGGCCGGTTCCGGTTTAGGTGTAGAAATAGGTTTTGGCGAATCGACGGGTTTCGGAGCGGGAAGCGCAGGTGTCGGCACGACTTTGGGCAGTTCCACATATGAAGGAGGTTCTGGCGTCGCTGTGGGAAAGACTGCGGCTGTTGATGTGACCCGCTTCTTGCAGTTTCCCTCGTGACGTGCAGCGAGCCGGCGCCTGCACTTTAGACCCGCAGCGGATACAGAGTCCGTCGCACTGAGAGCCGCGACGGCGATAACCATGATACTTGCCAACTTGACCATAATGAGAGAGGGCGACCTGCGCTTTACGTTCTATGTAATTCTATATATATAATACAGACGCACAAACACGGCAGTGCAAAGACCAGCTTGCAATCCGAAAGTGTTGAAATGAGGAGGAACACGTTGGGGGGGAGGAAGCGGAGGTGCTGGCACTTTAATACCCATTTTTTTCCCTTCCTTCTTTTTACGCCTGCCGTTTTTTTTGCAAGTCGGCTGGTCGCACGGATGAGCCGCTCACTAGCGCAAAAAATTACAATTTTTAAGTTTTCGGACAAACGGTACGGCTTACATAAGCATGTCGGACGGCCAATTCCGCTTGTGCGCATTGTAGTTGCCATGTCGTTGTGCATGGGCATTTTGTTTGTCAGTGCATGTGCTGCACTTGTTCGAGATGGGGGTTTGTAGGTCGATCGGTTAAGGGAGCTGGCGGCGTCAGCATTCTATTGTTCCCCTTTGGCAATAAAGGATCATTTCCCGTAGATACCCTCCATATTCCTTTGCCAATTAAATGTCATGACACTATATTCGTAACATTCCTTGAATGGCCGAGTTTCTGTCCTGTATCATAGTGTGATTTTTTACTCATTGTGCCGGGAGACCTTGGACCACATACACATCTTTTGGATTCTCTGGACAAGAACATGAGCAGAAATCAACCTTTTCCACCAGATCCACATTTGGATGCAACAACATACTTTGAGCGAAATCACATTAATCAGATTTTAGAGGTCGGTGTTTGGCTCAAAAGTCCTTTGTTTTTGGGTGTCCATTGACACACAGTTTGTTTAAAGAGTATCGTGACGGGCCTGACCTTTACCAGGCCGGATGATCCACTTGCTTACATTGAAGACTGCGTGCATCGTATCCGCCTGGGGGATCTGCCTGGTGGAAAGGCAAAACTAAAGTGGGACATTTTCATTCCATCATCAACGTCGACTTCAACTCAACGTAAAGAATTGCCCGGACGACAGCCAGAGCAAAGAAAATCTAAAGCGGTTGTTCCTCCCCTGCGAAAGAAACCGCCAGCCCCTCATACATTACCTCCTATGCAGCAGCAGTTCAGTCCAGTCGTGAGTGGGCCTGGGATCTTGCTGGATGTGTCATCCAAACCGCTCTTGCGAAGGAATGACAGTGGCGCCCGGGACACCGACGCTCGGCCAATCAAATCAGCCACAAAAAGGGTAGAAGAACGTAGTTTGGAACCAGAGTCGCCCCAGTCACCTCTTCCCAGTGGCACTGAGCCGATGACGACCCAAAGTCGTCCAGCAACAAGGACACTGGGAGGTCCAACACCTTTGCCTCCTATCAAAGCTGCCAACATCGCAGACGTACCTACACTAGACCAGCAAGTGCCAGTGCAGAGCGTTTCGACGTCGAGTGCACCTGAGCCCGTGCAAGTAAAGGAATCTGGGGAGGAAATCACTCAGACCTTGGCGGTTCCTGAAAGAAAACAAGTGTTGGGCAAGGCTTGGGATAACATTGTGTTTGTATTGGGAGGCCCTGGATGCGGTATGTGGTCTTGTACTCTACCAGATATTTTCACGCAGCTGCGAAACTCAATCTGGAATTTACTGCCCCAGGAAAGGGAACGCAATGCGCACAGATTGCAAAGGACTTTAACTACACTCATCTTTCCGCCGGGGATCTTCTCCGCGCTGAAGTCGCCACTGGCTCCGATCTTGGTAGAGAGCTGGACTTGATGATGCGCGAGGGAAGGATTGTACCCATGGTATTCATTACAAAATGTCTTGCAGTTTTGTGTCCTGTGGTCAATCTCTCACACTCTAATACGCCAGCATGTCACGGTCCGACTCCTTCGTGAAGCCATGGAAAGAGCAGAGGCGTCAGAAGGATTTCTCATTGACGGGTTTCCGCGACAACTTGACCAGGCGACGGCTTTCGAAGAAGAGGTGCATATACTGGTCTCAATTCTTGACTGCAGATTGTTTGCTCACAGCATACTATTCTTCGAAATGCAGATTCGACCATGTAAATTCGTCTTGTACTTTGAGTGCTCTGAAGAGCAGCTCGAAAAGCGTTTACTGAAGCGTGGCGAGACAAGCGGACGAGCAGATGACAACATTGAAACTATCAAGAAGAGGTTCAGAACATTTATTGAAACATCGTTGCCTGTTATCCAAGATTTTGAAAGAAAAGGAAAGTGCATAAAGGTAAAAATGTGTTCAGTCACGGGTGTGTCTGACATTATCCGTACTGACATTTGTTGCGTGAGAATGTAGATATCGTCTGAACCACCTGTCGATGAAGTTTACAATACGGTGAGAAAACATTTTGAAGAACCGCTGCCTTTGAACCATCCAAATGTCGTGTTCGTGCTCGGTAAGATATGTGCCTTGGCTTGTGCGGACGAAATTGATAGACTAATTGAGCTGAACTCACCATCAAGGCGGCCCCGGATCTGGTATGTCATCGAGTTACTAGTGCTCCCACATGCATATGTTTACCATGCTCTGCTCGTCTGCGAAGGCAAAGGCACACAATGTGTGCGGTTAGCGGAAGAATTCGGACTTACGCATCTGTCTACCGGTGATCTTCTTCGGGCAGAAATTGGAAAAGCATCGGCGATCGGCAGAGAGGTTGAAGGAATCATGAAGGAGGGCAAGATGGTTCCGATGGTCGGTGACAAACTTTAGGAAGTCACTCGCCTCTATGTGTGGTACTCACAGGCTGAACGTTTTGGCAGCGCGTTATCATGCAGCTGCTTCGAAGTGCAATGGAGGGAAAGGGCCTAGATACACACGGATTCCTCATTGGTAATGTACCGAGATGCTGAGAGTAATGCCACATTGATGAAGTCCCCAAACCTAACAAGGATCCATATAGATGGATTTCCGCGCGCCATGTCGCAAGCCCATGAATTCGAAAAATCAGTATGTAAAATGCTTGGTGTTCGTGAGGCCCGTTGCTAACGATTTTCCCAAGATCGGGCCGTGTCGCAAAGTCTTGTTTTTCAACTGCTCTCTTCCAGTGTTGGAGCAGCGACTTTTGGAGCGTGGAAAGACTAGCGGGCGAGTAGATGACAATTTGGAGACGATACGGAAACGCTTCCAAACATTCCAGGACGAGAGTGTGGAGGTCATAAATTGGTTTAAAGCCAAAGGCAAGGTCATAGAGGTATGTGTCGCTTGGCATTATGACAGCTTGTATTGTGGGTGAATCTAAGTCCTCACTGATGACGGATAAAACAATCAGATTTCCTCTGAGCGAGCCATTGATGAAGTGTATCAAGAAGCCAGAAAGGTGTTCATCTTGCCAGAGCCATTGAATCACCCCAACGTCGTGTTTATTCTGGGTGAGTCCTTATCTCTTAGTGTTACAGCTCCCTCAACTTCTAATGTTTTGTGCGTCCAATCGAAGGTGGCCCTGGGTCAGGTTAGTATCCCTGGCCATAGAACACACTATCTGCAAGTCGTCTTACCTTGACTAGGCAAAGGCACACAATGCTCTCGCCTGGCTAACGACTACCAGCTGAAACATATCTCCACCGGTGATTTATTGCGAAATGAGGTCGCTAAGGGTTCTGAAATTGGTCAATTTGTGCAGAAAATCATGATCGAGGGGGGAATGGTTCCAATGGTATGAAACTGACGTCAGATGTCTATACAGAGCATCTACCTAAACCTCATTTTTTCTTATAGAACGTAATGATGGGTCTGCTAGTCCAAGAGATAGAAGAAAACTTTGAAGCCAAAGGATTTCTTATAGGTGAGGATGTGACAGCTTTTGTTAAACGTCCAGT